AGTGGGGGTGGCCACATGCGCCCTCCGCACCCAATACAGCACCTCGTGGCCCCAATAGGAAGCTCCACCCAATGCCCCAGTGGGGGTGTCCACATGCGTCCGCCGCACCCACTACAGCGCTTCGTGGCCCCATAGGGAACTCCATTAAAGGCCCCAGTGGGGGTGGCCACATGCGTCCGCCACACCCAGTACAGCGGTCGTGGCCCGATAGGGGGCTCCACGTAAGGCCCCAATGGGAGTGGCCACATGCGTCCGCCACACGCAGTACAGCGTTTCGTGGCCCCATCGGGAGCTCCACCTGCGGCCCCAGTGGGGATGGCCACATGCGCCCACCACATCCAGTACAGCGTTCCGTGGCCACGTGGGGAGCCCCACCCAAGGCCCAGTGGGGGTGGCCGCATGCGTCCGCCACACCCAGTACAGCGCTTCGTGGCCCCATGGGGAACCCCACGTAAGGCCCCCGTGGGGGTGGCCGCATGCGCCCGCCGCACCCAGTACAACGCTTCGTGGCGCTCAGTGTTCTTGATGCTGTTGCTAGTCAACATGATATGAAAATAACTTCGATCCCCGCAACTTTCCCGTGGATCATAAAGTTCGGCCTCCGCGCCCCTCTCCACAATTAAATCCGATTGGACGGGGATAAACAAATAGAGGGGGAAAGGGGGGGTACTTTATTATCGCCCGCGCTCGGTTACAACGTTTCGTGGCCCCAAAACGAGCTCCACGTACGGCCCCAGTAGGGGTGGCCAGGTGCGCCTGCCACACCCAATACAGCGTCTCGTGGCCCAATAGGAAACTCCACCCAAGGCCCCAGTGGGGGTGTCCACATGCGTCCGCCGCACCCAGTACAACGTTTCGTGGCCCCATAGGGACCTCCACGTAAGGCCCACGTGGGGGTGGCCACATGCGCTCGCCACACACAGTACAGCGTTTCGTGGCCGCATCAGGAGCTTCACAGAAAGACCCCAGTGGCAGCGCCCGCATGCGTCGCCCACCACTCAATACAGCATTTCGCGGCACCATTGATTGGGAACTCCACCAAACCCCAATGGCAATGCCCGCGTGCGTCCCGCCCACCCGGTACAACGCTTCGTGGCCCCGTGGGGAGCTCTAATGGCCCGCCCGCATGCGACGCTCCATCCCGTACGTACAGCGTTTCGTGCCCCCATATGGAGCTCCACCTGCGGCCCCAATGGCACCGCCCGCATGCGTCCCTCTTCCATGACGTCTTACGCGAAACCAACGCACACCTCACCGTCCCTGGGGAACTGCGAACTATGAAACAGTCGCGACTTTTGAGAGCTGTTGGGGGGTTCAGCGGAATGACGTCTTACGGGGATTCAAATTCGACCTCGCCGTTCCTGGTTGGTTGCGAAACCCGACACTGTCGCCAATATTGAAGGCTACTCGGGTGTCCAGCGGAGTGACGTATTACGGCGATTCAAGCTGAAACTCCCTATCCAAGGGGGGCTGCGAAATTAGAATCCGTCGCCACTTTCGAAAGCTATTGGGGCTCCAGCGTTGTGGCGTCTTACGCGGATTCAAATCAGACCTCGTCATCGCTGGGGGGCTGCAAACTGCAAAACCGTTGCCACGTTCGAGGGCCGCTGGGAGGTCCAGCGGGTGACAGCTATACGCGGACCCAAACCAAGGAGTTGCCATCCCTGGGGGGGGGGCCTGCGAACTGCGAAACCGTCGCTGGTTTGAAAAGTATGGGGGGGCTCAGCGGAGTGATATTTTACGCGGGTTCGAACTAGACATCGCCGCCCCCCGGGGGCTGCAACATTCCACTAACCCTCTGGGCGTAGATGGTCTAACGATATCTTTCTTCCCTCATCCGAAATGCCCTCTTCCCCTTCGGGGAAGGTTCTGCACCTCCCCCTCCCCCCTCCCTTGGGCGGGGAGGGGATGGAGGCGCCAGAGCGCCCAAGATGGCCCAAGATGGCTCAAAGAGGGCCTCCAATGCTCCAGAATGGCCTCCAAGATACCACAAGATTCCGCAAGGTCGTTCGAGATGGGTTCCCCATGCTCCAAGCGGCCTCAAGGACCGCCCCACAACGCCCCGAAATGCCATCGGAAACTCATCGGGGTCCACCAAAAAACACAACATCCTTCAAACACCAAAACATATAAAAGATGCTTGCCTTCTTGCCTTTTCGGATCCGGTGCGCGCGTGAGGCCTCACAGTGGCCCTAAGATGGCCCAAGGGAACTCCAATAGGGGCCCCAGAGGCCCCCAAGGCGGCCCCCAAACCACCCAAGAGCGCCCCAAGATGGGCCCAAAATGGGTGGGAGGAAAATGTGATATTCGCGCCCCCCCCTTCCTCTGATCGATGGCCCCCAACATGGCCCCAAGAGGGCACCATGGGGGCCCCAATGCGCCTCCCCAAACACCCAAGAGGACCCTGCAAAACCCTCCCAAAAACCCCAAGAGGGCCCCAAGATGCTCCAAAAGAGCTCCAAAAGGACCCCAGTACCCCCCAATCCAGCCCCGTAGCTCCAATACGGCCTCCGATGTTCCAAGGTCGCGTCCAAGATGGCTCAACACCCTCCTTTTTCTCCTCTCCGTCCATGCCCCGTTTCACTATATGTGTCTCGTCGTCCCTCTTTCCGTCAGCTATCCTGGGCAAGGCTCCTGAATGGGCTGGTCGGGATCAGCGAAGCGTAAGCAATATGAAACTGTCGCCACGTTTGAAGTCCGCTGGGGGTCCACTGGGATGATGTCATATTTCCGCGGATTCGCACTCGGCCCCGCCATCCCTGGGGGCCGCGAGCTGCGAAACCGTCACCACTTTCGAGGCGCGCTGGGAGGTCCAGCGGAGTGGCGTCTTACACGGATTCACACAAAACCCCACCATCCCTTGGCAGGGCTGCGCACTGCGAAAATGCTGCCAATGTTCAAGGCTGCTGGGGGTCCGACGGATGGACGTCCTACGTGGATATATATTATATATATATATATATATATAATATATATATATATATTATATATATATATATGTATCGCCATCCCTGGGGGGTACGGATTGCGAACTTCTCCATTTTCGACAGCTGCTGGGGGAGCTCCAGCGGCCTGGCGTTTGAAGCGGATTCACACAACACACCCCGCCATCCCTGGTGGGAAGCGAACTGCGAAACGGCCGCCACGTTCGAAGGATGTCGGGGGTCCAACGGGGCGACGTATCACGCGGATTCGAAATAGACCTCGCCACCCCTATAGGGGTCTGCGAAATGCAAAACTGTCACCACTTGCGAGGGCTCGCGGGGGGTCCAACGGAGTGGCAGCTGCACGCGGACCAGAATCGACCTCCTCTTCATACCCCAGAGGCTGCGAACTGCGAAGCCGTTGCTACTTTCGAAGGGTGCTGGGGGGTCCGGCGGAGGTCTCCACGCGCATCCAAACTAGGACCTCGCCATCCCTAAACCTTGCAATCCTTAGGGGGCTGCGAACTGCGAGAAACGGTCGCCTCTTTCGAGTCGCCGGGGGGTCCGGCGGAGTGACGTATTACCCGGGTTTACACTCGACCTCGCCATCCATTGAGAAGGCTACACACTGCGACACTGTGGCCAGTCTCTGAAGCTGCTGGGTGCTCCGGCGGAGTGACGTCCCACGCGGATCCAACGTAGACCTCGCCGTCCTTGGGGGGCTGCGAACTGCAGGCCTGTCGCCACGTTCGAAGGCTGCTGGGGGCTCCAACGGTCTGGCGTTTCGTTCCCGCACTGCGTGGCGCAGAAAGATAACGGAAACACTGGCGGGCGAGCTCGGGCCCGTTCGCTTTTTTTCTGGCGATGCACAGCTGGTCCCTGTTCCTCTCCAGCGGCAGGGCGACATGGCGCGGGCCGCGCTGCTTGTCCAGCGTGCCACTGGAACGTGATCGCCAGCTTCCTCTCAAGCCATCACCGGGCACGCACCTTGCGAGGCCGCGCGTCGCATCATCATCCTGCCTCTTTCGTTGTCGTCCTGTTCCTCCCTCCGCCGTCTCACTGCTGCGTTCGCGCCAAAAGGTTCTTGCCCTCTTCCGTGTTTTTCCCTGCCCTGCGCTCCCGCCCCCATTTCCTCTCCGAGCCTGGGGTTTCAGTCCTCGTCGTTGATTGTTGTCCTGTGAGTCGCGCAAAGCGCGAGCTTTCAAGATAAGTTGCACAACCAATGACAGACCCTGCGCTGTCATCAGCCGTGCTGCTCTGTAGCAACAACTCCACTTGTTTCTTAATGCAGGTGGGCTGGGTAAGTGGTAAGTCGCAAGGTGACCCCATCCTCGGGGCCGCTGTGGCGCCGCGGGTCTTGCTTGTCGAGGGTTCGCCCTTGACCTGGAACATGAGCCCCTGCACGACCTGATCGCGCGAGGTCTGCTGTCGTGATGCTCTCACCACGCGTGGAGGTCAGGTCCTTGGACCTTGGGAGCTGCCCTGGACCGCGCTCTGGCCAAGTGCGGCTCTGTCTGTGGAGACGAGGCCGACATGTGCAACAAGCGTCGAAACGGGGTTTCCTTTTCAGACGTCTGGGGAGGTCCCTGGAGGTGCGCGGAGGAAAAACACGCGCCGTCTAAAAACGTCGACCCTTTTCCCTGCCTCCACCGCTCAAGGGGTGAAGCCTCGACCTGGAATCGGCGATACATCGCCGATGAATCGGCGATATGCCCACGACAGGGAATCCGCGCGTTCCATGTTGGGGTGGACTATCGGGCTCGGGCCCCAATCGGCGATGACTGGGCCAGCGGGGTTCCGAGCTTACCTCCTCCAAGCCTGTCCCCTCGTGTCGTTGCCCTTTGGGCTTCGGGACATAACTCGGCTCCCAGACGGTCGTTCGGGACGATCCGGGCACTCCTGGAACGCTCTCGTCGAGGCGCAGCTGCTGGAGAGCATCCTAGGGCTGGAAGACCAGTGAGAACCGACGACAGAGTCCGAAAACCTCGAACGTCGAGCTGGGGCCACCGAGCAGACGTTGACCCTAGGGACGGGTCGGGGCAACACTCTGGCGGGGACTGGGGCGGGGCGGCGCGCCTCAGGCGGCTGCGGCCGTGGCCCGCCTGCCCGCGGGTTGCTATCATCGGCGTCGTCGAGCGGGAGGGGGCGGGATGGGAGACGAGGATGCGAGCCGCGGAACATGTTCCATGACCACCGCCTCGACAACCAAATTCCTGGGACCCCATGGTGGCGATGGATGTGGCCACCTCTGGGCTTCCCCGGGGCCCAAGTAGATCCACCGGTTGCCGAGGTCTCCGAAGACCAATGCCCCAGGTGGTGGTTGTGAATCAATCCCTGCCTTGGAGAGGGAGGGGGGGCGAGGATGAGAGGGGGGTGAAGCGATGGGAAGCGAGGCGAAAGGAGGAGGAGGAGGAGGAGGAGGACGACGACGACGACCAGTGCACACCCAAGAATCATCAACGATGTTGGCATACATCCTCCCTCCGAATTAGTTTTTTCCATCGGCCCCTAAAAGGGTGCATGTCCACCCGGGGAACTGCGTCGCTGGAAGACAACCGTTTGAATACCCTGACGCGTGCCAAAATATTATTCTCGGAATTCAATTGCGACGGGTTAGCATGATTGTTGCGTTTTGGCGCTCCTGACTGGTGCCAAAGCGCAATTCCTGGAACCCACTTCAACCCCGCGAACCAACGTAACTGCTACACCCTCATACTCCTGAGCCTTTCCAACACACCATTTCAGATACGTTGACCATGGGAGTTCGCGAAACTCATTGCAATGTTCAAACAAGAATGCGCGCGGCGCTGGGGAGAGAGCAACACTTTAAAAACGAACCGCCCTGCGATAATCATATTCCGAAAACGACCCGCCTTCAATCCGTGAAGCTCCTGCAACTATTTAGAACGAGCGTGTGCGCCGCTCAACGGAGAGCCGCAATTTGAAACAATAATACCCGCCATCCATCAATGAAACTGTTGCTGATTACAACGTCAGGGTCATAAACAGGTGCAGGAATATGAAGCGAAACGCCATGCCCGCTCTTTCGCCCGGCCTCGGGATGCGGCAACGAGAAGTTATGTATAACACGAAATATAAAATTCAAAAAAAGAGGAGGATGAGGATGAGGAGGAGGAGGGGGGCGAGGGAGGGAGGCGGTGAGAAGCAAGGGGGAGGGAGGAGGAGAAACTGCAACGAGAGTGGCAATGGTGAAAGAAACAACAAATGGCGGCAATAGTGGAGATAGCGGCTTTCTTTTTTTCCCCTTTTACAATGCCATTTCAATGCGCGGGTCCGCTGGGAGCCAAATTGCACTGGCGCGCGCGTTCCTATTCGAGCCAGGGCTACCATGCAATGGAGAGTGCCCCTCCGCAGCGCCTAGGTCACAGAAAGCCACGTGCATATACGCGCCAGGAACATTCACTGCGCAGCCGCAGCAGTGGGCGCTCGGCACAGCTCACCCCTGGCTCAAGAGCCTCGGCCAAAACGCAATGTCGCGAACCCTGGGAGCTCAGTCGGGTTGTCTGTGGTCAACTCGTACGTGGGATGAGCTGACCATGGCCGAGGTCGTGAACCGCAGCGGCATCCCGCAACCGAAAGAAACCAAGGATGGGATCCTTACCCGAAGTGGTGTCGACTGGTCGATGTCGCCTGGCATTCGGGAGCGGGGTGCGTAGCTGGCCGGTGCGTCGCTTGCGCGGCTGTGTAGCTGGGGAACACCCGCGCTCCCTGTTTCGCGCGCGCCGATGCAACTCGTCCAACTGTTTGCGGCAGTGCGCCTCTAGTTGCCAGCCTTGTCCAATGACGGCCGTTGACTGGTCCGCGCGCTGGTCTGACGACGACCGACCGGCGCCGACGCGGCGCGCGTTGCCTGGATGCGGCCAACTACTGCTCAGCGTCGTAGGCGCCTGCCTTCGGCTGTTCGCAGCTGCCACACTGTTGGCCGCACGGCGCGGCCAACGCCCAGGCGGCCGCGTTGCATGCCGGCTAGTGTAGACCTCAGTGGTGGCGAGCTGTCGCGCCGTGCCAGCACCTCGCAGCGCAGGCGGCGCTGAGGTGCCAAAGCTGGGCGCGCGCGCGACGCCCGTCGAACGCCTGGCGTGCCGCGCCCGCCAGCAATTCGCGATGACGGCGTCCATGCGCCAATCTCCTGCGAGACATGAGAAACCCCGCAGTCGACGGAGGGGGTGGCTGGCCACTGGTGTCATGGAGCGGCTTCTCGAAGGTGCTCCTGACGAACTAGATCTGCGATGGGCGCGTGGTCGGGTCAACCTAACGGTGCTCGTCGTAGCTCAATCGCCAAGCGCCTTGCAGCCAGCGTTTCGGACTCAAGTGTTCCCCGCTGCCTCCCCCCAGCACCTCCTCCTCCTCCTCCTCCTCCTCCTCTTCCTTCTCTTTCGGAGCTCCCAAACCCACAAGAAAACACAATATCCCAAAATACACAACGTTTCTTTGCAACTTGGGCAAAAAAAAGAACAAACACACGCAGCGTTTCCTTGCACCAAGGGCACCAAATACTGTGTATGTATTGTTTTCTTGTTTGCAGCAGGGAAGAAGACATGACATGAGGAAAAGGAAGGGGGAAGAGGAAGGGGGAGAAGGAAAAGGTGTTTTGGGGGAGGCCGCGGGGAGCATTTGAGCTTTGAAAACCAATTACAAACACAAGCTAACAACACATACGCCGTGTTTCCTTGCTTCCTGCACCGGGAAAAAACCAAACAACCAAACATACACAACGCCTCCTTGCTCCGAGGCCGCCACACACTGCGTATGCTTTGTTCTCTTGCTTTGCGCAAGGGAACTTATTTTTCTTGGTTTGAGAAGCAAGGATTGTTTTTTTTGTGTTGTGCTTCTTTTTGTGGTTTGCAAACCCCGAAGCTCGCACTGGCCCCCTCTCCTAGCACCCGTGGGGCTTGCAAAACCTCAAAAACAACAACACCAAACATACGCAATGTTCCTCTGCTTCTCAGACCCCACAAACCAAAACGAACAACAATGCGCAGGGTTTCCTTGCATCGAAGGCGCGACGCATTGTGTATGTTTGGTTGTCTTGGTCTGAGGCGCATGGAAGGGTGCTGAGAGGAAGGCCCGCGCGAGCATTCGGGCTTGCAGAAGCATACCAAAAAAAACAAAACCAAAAGTACACAGGGCTTCCTTCAGGAGGAGGAGGAGGAGGAGGAGGAGGAGGAGGAGGAGGAGGAGGAGGAGGAGGAGGAGGAGGGGGGGAAGAGAGATCGATTGACGATGGCGGTATTAGAGAAGAAACTGCATGATCTTGGGGGAGGGGGGGGGGGGGAAGGGGTGCGACCGCACAGACTCATGCAACACACATATATATATATACATATATATATAATACATATATATATATATATACATATATATATGTATGTAATGGTGGGAAACGATTTTCATATGTATATATATATATATATATAAATCGGGGGCGGACGATTTGAACATTGATCCGCGGGCCTCCTAGCCCCCGCAATAGCGGGGGGGGAGGGCAGGCAGACGGGGGGCCGGCAATTCCGGGTTGCCTGGATGGCCAGGGGGGGGCACGTGAAAGTAGGAGGAGGAATAGGAAGGGAAGGAAGAGGAGGAGGTGGAGGACGAGGAGGAGGAGGAGGAGGAGAAGGACGAGGAGGAGGAGGAGGAGGAGGAGGAGGAGGAGGAGGAGGAGGAGGAGGGGCCCAGCACAGGCCCGAGCAAAACGATCCTTGAGGCCCCGCGGCTTCGGATCCTGGTTCCTGCTCTTTCTCTTCCTTCCTCCTTCGTTCTCCTCCTCCTCCTCGTCCTCCTCCCTCCTCCTCCTTTTTATCTTCCTCCTCCTCCCCCTCCTCCTCTTCCTCCTCCTCCTCCTCCTCCTCCTCCTCCTCCCCCTCCTCCTCATCCCCCACCTCCCAATCGCCGCGGCCGTCCGCAAGGACGACCGGCGGCCGTCCGCAATGACGAGGGTGATCAAGCGCCTCTTCCCAAACCCCTTCCCTCAACTACTCCCTAATTGCCCCGTCCCCCCTCCCCAATCCTCCCCCCGCGGCCGCGGGTGATCAAGCGAGCGAAGGAGGACGAATAGAAAATCTGTTCCCCCAAAGGGGCAAAAGCAAACGCCGGGGGGCGGGCGATTCAAACAACAGTTTCCGGCGGCTGAATTCTATTAGTCCGCCCCACCCATCGTTCTGGGGGGTCCGGGGGGGGCGATTTTTTTGTTATCGATTCCCCCCTTATATATATATATATATTATATATATATATATATATATATATAATATATATATATATATATATATATATATATATAAGTATGTCGTTCTGTTTCTGGGTTGTCATCTTCCCCCAGGTCCCATATTTTCCAATGTCGTCCTGGAAATCGACGAGTCACCGTGTTTGTGTGCCTTTCCCCCCGCCCCCCCCCTGGGACACACAGATTAGTCAATAGACACAAAATTCGGGGAAACGTGACGTAAGACTCGGGTACGGGGGACTCGGGTTGGCCTGGGGGGGGCCAACATGAAAATGACGAGACCCTATCTGAAACTTGACACGGGCTCCCGCTGCAGACATCCCACGAAGACCCGACCGTCAAAGTCCAGGACGCGCTCGCCCCAAAAAAAACGGCAAACCCGAGCTCTGACTTACTCGAGTCTTACGTTTCCATGAAAAAATACAGGGTTCCCTCGTATACACACAGATATGTATATATACACACATATGTATACAATGTATATGCATATGCACATATATATATATATGTGTATATACATACACACACATATATACATATATATATATGTATATATACATATATATATATATATATGTATACATATATATACATATGAATATCATGCATTGTTTTTGTCTGGGCTTTCGTCTTCCCCCCAATATTTTCCCATGCTGTCCCGAGAACCGACGATTCGCCGTGCCCGTGTGCTCCCCACCCCCCACACTGAGCAGAGGCGCGCGCCCCCTCGGGAACGGCCGCCCCCTGGCGAGCGCCCAGTGGCCGCCGCCGGCCGAGCGCTCTCTGTGGGAAGCCCCGCCAGGCCGCCACCAGTGAAGGGGGCCCTGGGATACGCCAATAAATACACACCGGCAACAGGATCCCCCATATCTTTTGGATTTTCGTCTCCCCCCCCACTTCCCATATTTTTGCACATTTTCCTGAGAATCGCCGATTCATGGTGTCTGCATGTTTTTTTTAACCCTCCTGAACTAAGGAGGTACTGGGGCCGATGCGGGGGCCCAAGCAGCGAGTTTTGAGGCAACTGTCGATGGGAACGAAAGGGGGAGATAGCAAAGGGTAGGGTAGGGTACCCAGACCTCCGACGTCATGATTTTTCCATGACGCTACCCCCAGAGGTCCGGACCCATTCCCCGGGACTGGTTTTTCATCCTGAGTCGTTGTTTGACAGTCCTGAGGGCCAGTAAGGGCCCCCGGAGGCCGAAAATAGCGAAACACCTCCCGTCGTGATTTCTTCATGACTCGAGGGGGTCTGGGTAACAGGATCCTCCATATCTTTTGGATTTTCGTCTTCCCCCCCACTTCCCATATTTTTGCACATTTTCTTGAGAATCGGCGATCCATTCCCCAATCAGAGTTTGCCTCTGTAGGGGTCCTAGCGGATTCATATGGTTAGGTGAGGTGGGGCGCCGATTTGGTGGCCGGTGGCCGGGTGCCCAGGTGCCCAGGGGTGCCCGTGGGTGCCCGGTGCCTCAGGATTTCGGTGGCCAGTGGCCAGGTGCCCAGGTGCCCGGGTGCCCGTGGGTGCCCGGGTGCTTGGGGGTGCCCGAAGGTGCCCGGGTACCCTATAGCCATATAGCCTCATTGCCTTATAACTATATAGCCCAATAGCCCTTATAGCCCATATAGCCTTATAGCCCAATAGCCCTATAGTTCTATGACCCTAAATATGGCCCTAGAGCCCTAGAGTTCTAGAGCCCTGTAGTCCTGTAGCTTCTATAGCCCAATAGCCCTATAGCACTATACCCTTATAGCCATATAGCCCATATAGCCCCATAGCCCTATAGCCCCATAGCCCCAACACAAATCTGATTAGGTTTTTTCCCCTGTCTCATTGTGTCTGCGTGTTTTTTTACCCTCCTGAAACAGGGAGGTGCTGGGGCCGATGCGGGGGCCCAAGCAGCGAGTTGAGAGGCAACCGTCGGGGGGAACGAAAGGGGGGGATAGCATAGGGTAGACTAGAGAATCAACTCACGCAGCTGGTGTTCCCAGCGCCTCCCGGCGCCCGGAGGCGTCGGTGCGGGCCCGGCGGCGGGGCCGAAGCCAGCTGCATGCAGCAGATTTCGTAGCCCCCCCTTTCCCTATGACCCCCTTTCGTTCGGCCCGAAACTGCTGGGAGGTCTTCGTCGGAAGGACTGCGGAACAAAAAAGTCCCATCGGGGGGGTGCTACGTCGGATCAGGCCACGGATTTAGCGGAATTCAGTGGGCTCAAGCGGTATAACGCGGGATAACGCGGGCCGATGCGGGGCCTAAGCAGCGAGTTGAGAGGCAACCGTCGGGGGGAACGAAAGGGGGGGATAGCAAAGGGTAGGCTAGATAATCGGCTCACGCAGCTGGTTTTCCCAGCGCCTCCTGGCGCCGGGAGGCGCCCATGCGTCGAGGAATGGGACTGGCGGCGGGGCCGAAGCCAGCTGCATGCAGCTGATTTCGTTACCCCCCCGTTCGGCCCGAAACTGCTGGGAGGTCTTCGTCGGAAGGATTCGGGAAAATGAAGTCCCATCTGGGGGGTGCTACGTCGGATTAGGCCGCGGATTTAGCGGGATTCAGCAGGTTTTAGCGGGATAGAGCGGGATGAAACAGGATTCATCCGATTAAAGCCGGATGTCGGACCAGGGCAAAATCAGAATTCGACCTCCCCGGAGTTGCATCCGAAGAAACGGGGGACGCAAGTCAGGTGCGCAAACGTCTTATCTGACGTCCTACCCCTCCCTCGCATCCCTTACCATGGCGTAGATCTCCTCTCTCTGTTCGCACAGTCGGATGTCGAGCATGGACCTAAAAGCGAGGAGAGAAGGGGGGGGGAAAGGAGAAAGGGGGAAGGAGTTGATGGAGGTAACACCGATGGGAGGAGAGAGAAACAACTGCCACCTTACGCTGATGCTCCTTTTCCTCCCGGCAGGGGGTGCAGCGTGGAGCGAGTAGTACTTATGAATTGCTTCCGCCGATTAGCAACGTTGCCACGAATTTGGCATGGTGTCCTCGAAAAGTATCTTTTCACGTAGCCTCATAGTCTCGGAATCTCCCTTCCCTTCTACAAATCGCCTTCCCCCTACTCCCTTCTCTGCCTCCTCCTCCTCCTTCTCCTCCCCCCAGGCCCCGCACTTCGCGGCGATCGGACGGATGTCGGGTCTGGTTTGCCGTCGGGAACGTAGCCAGGGCTGGTCGCATCATGCAGGACCTCGCAACTTCGCGGCGGCGAGGAGGAGGAGGAGATAGGAGGAGGATGGGGAGAAAGAGGAGGAGGATGAGAAGGAGGAGGAGGATGAGGCGGAGATATGAGGAGGAGGAGGACGAGGAGGAGGAGGAGGAGGAGGAGGAGATAGGAGGAGGAGGACGAGGAGGAGGAGGAGGAGGAGGAGGAGGAGCAGGAGGAGGATGGGGACCTGAGAGGGAGGAGGAGATCTGGCACTGATCCTAATCCCCCCCACCCCCCCGACGTCACCTTCGCGTCACCCTCGCGGTGGGCCTCCTGGCGCCGGGCGCGCGGGCGCGCCCTCTCTACCCCCTCGCCGATGGTGAGGTGGGGGGGGGGAGGGGCGGAGAGGGGAGGGCTCGAGGATCGAGGCTCGATCGAGGATCGAGGCTTAGCAAGAGAAAGCTGGGACAGGGACAACACAGGACAGGGAGAAATCGGCGATCTCTGAGAGCCAGCGGTTCTGGAGGATGCATCCGGCGCCGCGGCCATTCCAGAGGGGCTGCAGCACCGCTCAACGATGTGTTGTTTAATCGAACCTGGAGGGTCGGTCCCTTCTCTCTGCTCGGTTCCAGCGGGGCCTCTTCACGCCCCCATGCGGAAGGATGATGAGGATGAGGATGAGGAGGAGGAAAGGAGGAGGAAAAAGAAGAGGAGGATGAGGAGAAGTGAGACAGCTACAATCAAACCAACCACATGCATCGAATAAAAAGATACATACAATCTGCAACAACGCGACGAGATGTCAAGGTACCGTTGGGCCGAGGAAACATAAAGCGTGCAAGGGATTCGTCAAATCGAGTGTTGCAAGGGTAACATGTAACCCAATCCTCCTGATCCAGTTACTCCAGCTTCTCATCCTCCTCGGTCCTCCTTCTTCCTCTTCCTGCCCTGTCCCACCCTCCCGCCTTCTTTTCCTGCTCATCATTCTCGCTGACTTCTCTGTCTCTCTCTGTCTCCCTGTCTCTTTCTCAAAATCTGCCTCTGCCTTTGCCTCGTTCTCTGTATCCGACTCTGTCCCCCTCCAACAGTCACGCCAGAAATGGGGACGGACACAGAGGGGACGATGACCAACAACAAGTGCTGTCCCAATTCCACAGCGGCCAGTGTTGTCCTCACGACGCTCGTCCCAAACCGACGAGCGTCCGCGGCGACAGCGACAGTGTTTGGCGGCGAAATTCAAACCCTACCCTCGCCGATCAACGATTCAAGCAACTCGATGGGGGGCGGGGTAGGGCTTGGAACTCGTCGAGCACGTGGCGAAATCCGAGCCTTAACCCCGCCGCACATCGATTCCAGAGAAATCGATGGTTGGTGGGAAGATAATGCTAATGAGGATGCTTCCGTTCCCCACCCGACCGTCGTTTGGGGATGCTGCGTGTTGCGGGCATAGGTGTACACATTTATGTGTACATATATGTATATACACACATACTTAAGGCATGCTCGCACGCATGTATGCATGTCTGTATGTATGTACACATCTATACATATGTATGTATATATATATGTATATATATAGGTGTATATATACACATGTGTGTATGTATATATATATATATATGTGTATGTATGCCTGTATGTCTGTATGCCTATGGTAATGCGTTTATTTAGGTTTGTGTGTATAGTGTATGTGTGTATGCATTCATGCATGCATGTATGTACGTATGTATGTGTACATATTCATACTTAGCGGTGCCCGGTGCGCAGCGACCCCCCCCCGGAATCGCTCGTCCTGGAGGTTTCGTACTGGCCGCACCGCCAGTGCAGGCTGGTACGAAACCCCCGGGGTGCACGAACCCCCCAAGGGGGCCGGCGCACGACACCCCCCTGGCGGGGCGCACCGCTGGTGCGGACTGGTACGTAACCCCATCCGATGGCCACAACGCGCAACTCCAGAGCGCAGGGCAGCGCCCGGGAAGCGCGTGCGAACGTCCAGCGGCGGCGTCGGCGGCGGCGTTGGCGACGGCGGCGGCGGCGGCGGCGACGACATCCAGAGATCGCCAGAGGCCCCCTGAAGCCTCGTCCACCTCCTTCTCCTCCTCCTCCTCCTCCTCTTCCCCATTCTCCCATCCTCCTCCTCCTCCGTCTTCTCGTCCTCCTCAAGTCGTCCACCCCTCTTGCTCCGTACGAGGACCTCCCGCCATCTCCTTTGATCCATCTGAGTGTCTCATCTCCGTCCGTCGATCCGTCCATGCATTCATGCCTCCGTTCGCCCATCTAGCTCGTCCCTCCCACCCCACGCCCACGCCACGTTAGACCCACCACCCACTTCCGCGCAGCCCCCCCCCCCAACTCCCACAGGAGGCCCCCGCCCCACTGCCACAAGGGGTGGGGGGGTCTGCCGGTGCGCCCGCTGCGAGCCCCCCCAGGGAAGGGTGCAGAGGGCAGGGGGTGTCCGGGCCGTCGGGGGCACACCACGCGCCCGGTGCGAACTCCCCCGGGAACGCGGGGGAGGTGGGGTTCGTGCCACGGGGCGCCGCGCACGCATATACATGTATAGCTACACATATACATATATAGATATGTTTATACGTATGTATGGGTGTGTGTATATATATATATGTATATACCAATATAGTATGCATGTATATATATATATATATATATATGTACGTATACCAGAACCATCGCGCGCGCTTCGCGCGCGCTGAGGTTCTAGCTGGTCGGGTGCTGACCGCAGTCAGACAACAAGCGAATCATGAATACTGAAGTCAACATCCTCTGTCTCCTCCTGCCCCTTCCTCATTCCTCCTCCTCCGCTCTCATCGACCGGTCGACCGGTGATCTGTCGCCAAACTATGGGCTAGGAAACATGCAGCGATACAGCGCCATGTTGCACTACGCTATGGGATGCCATGATACACCATGCTACGCTATAAAGCGCAATGCCACTCTGCAGTGCGCAGTGCTATAACATGATCTACTCTACAATGCGCATTGCATGCCATGCCATGCTGTGCTGTGACATGCGATGATAATATATGGGATGATGCGCTGAACCGTGTCATGCTATGTTTCCTATGCAGAACGATGCTACCGCGTTACATGGTATGCACAGGCACGGCATACCGTGCCATACAATGCAATGCAATGCTGCGCCATGTTATGGGCTGCTAGGCTAAAAGAAACAGGCCGACAATAAGAACAACAACGGGGGTGTGATATTTGCATGATTTCTGTTACGGTTGCGCAGAGCAGTACGGTGCTGTTCGATTAATTTCTGTGCACTTGAATGCCATGGTACGCCACGATGCGTCATGAGATGCAATGCCAGGCTAGGCAATGTTGCGTCGTGACGTGCAGTGCTAGGCTCAGCTGGACACTGCTATGGAATGCAACGCTGTGGCATGCTCAACCATCCTGTGATATGCACTGACACGGTTAGCTCTGTCGTGCGGTGCCGTGCCATGTCATGTCATGCAACGCTGCGATGCCACGATATGGTAGGTGGTCCTTTGCTATGCACCGGTACGTTTGGGAGGCCTCCTGGGGGCCGTTTGGGGTACTCTTGGGGCGTCTTTTTGGGCCTCTTTGGGGCCTGGTGGGGCCTCCAGGGGGCCTCTTGGGCTCTGTTGGGGGCCTCTTGGGGCGGAAGGCTCAAATTGTCGGTTCGTGTTCTCCTCTTGGGGCCGTCTTGGGGCCCTCTTGGGCGATCTTGGGTGCCACGTGGGCCGTCTTGGGGCGCTCTTGAGCCGTCTTGGGGCTCTCTTGCGCCGTCGTGGTGCCCTCTTTGGGTGCCTCTTGGGCCGTGCTGAGTTGATTTCTGGGGCCTCGTGGGCTGTCTTGGGCCATCGGAAGCACGAAACAGCGAGAGCACAAAAACGTTCAAACACTTTCGAAAAACAAAAAAACCACACACTTGTTTCGCCTCCTGCGTGCCTCGTCGGAGTCCATTTGAACAGATTGGCCGTCTTGAAGCCCTCTTGGGCTGTCTTCAAACCATGTTGGACCAGTTTTGAAACGCTCTTGTGCGGTCTTGGGCTCTGGAGCGTTCTTGGGCCATCTTGGCGCTCTCTTGGACGTCTCTCGGCCCCCTTTGACGTTTTTTGGCGCCCCCCGCCGGGCCCGAAACGGCCAGAAGATACTTCAATCCACTTCGAGGGGCCAGGACCCCCTACCCATTTTGTAATATATATATATATATATATATATATAATCATACGCACCTCTCCGAGGGAGTAGAGCTCAGAACCGATAAATTGAAGGCGGCGTTCGCGATTTTTCTGGCCGTTTCGCTAGGGACATCCTCGACATTCTGAAAATCAGTGGCACCCCTCACGCAGATCGTGACGTCAGGGTCCAACGACACATGGGAATTTCAACATTCTAGCATAATCCTTCAAACACACATTGTAATTTCAATGATTTTGACCCCGATTCTCAGAGAATGGCGATTTCGCCTGAGACATCCTCCCAAAATCGAGCCCCGACGTACCTTCTGGTACCCCAGACCCCGCCTCGGAGCCTCTTGGGAGCCTCCTGGAACCTCCTGGGGCCTCCTGGGGCTTTCTAAACCTTCTGGTACCCCAGACCCCGCCTCGGAGCTTCCTGGGGGTCTCCTGGAACCTCCTGGGGCCTCCTGCGGCCTCCTGGAGCCTCTTGGGGCCTCCTGGGGCCTCCTGGGGTCTTCTGGGGCCTCCTGAGGCCGCCTGGGGTCTCCTTGGGCCTCAAAACTAATGCACACACAGGGACACAAATCACACCCAACACATCACACGCTAGACGAACATACCACACACACAACACCTACAACGCACAGAAAACACGCACAACAGAGAGCACACATCACACACACACAACACTCACAATCCCGGGGCCTCCTGGAGCCTCTTCTGGTATCCAAGTCGGGCCTCCTGAGGTTTCCTGGGGGGCCCTGGTACACACATCGCAAGGTGTGGCAACCCCACTTGCGCTCGAGTGCGACCTCGATCTTAGATTATTCTGCGTTCGCCTCCTGCCTCTTCCCCTTCTCTTAAGCACGCCCTGGCGGCGCCGCCCCAGCTTCCCCTTCTCCATCTCCGATCCTGGAGTCATGGTGTCTTCCTGCTTCGAACGCCCTTTCAGTTTGTATGTATGCGCCTGGGCACACACGTGCCACGTGTATGTGTATATATATATATACATATATATATATATATATATATGCATTCACATAAAAATGTATATATATGTATATGCGTATACATAGCTACTTATATATGTATATATATATACCTATATATATATAATCTGCCGGCAATCACGTCGCCTCCAATCCAATCGGCTACGGCTTGGGGGAATTCCGCTTCATCAGCGTGTCTGCGATGCCCCACGACCTCGCTTTGTGTTTTGTGTACCGCTCTTCGTCTGTCTTTCGGGGGCGGCCAAGGAGGGGGCGTCCAAGAGGGGGGGCCCAAATCATGGCTGGCGGCACGTGCGCGGCCCAGGGGGTGGGCGGGGACGTAATGATTGAGATAAGAAGAGGCGCCGTGAGATCGGGGGAGGTATCCTGGCCCACGCCGTGAGATCCCCACCCCTCTGGGCCGCCCCCGAGCTTTGTATACCGCTCTTCGTCCCTTTTGCTCCGCCCCCGACTCTCGCGCCTCGGCGGGGAAGGCCGGGGGGGGGGGCGCGGTCGCCCAATCCGTGGGTCGGGGGAGGCGCCCTCCCCGAAAATGCGGCCGGTGCCGCCTCGCGCGGCGGCGGAAAGCCGCGATTTCGTATGGAAAGGGGGCCCGTGGCTCATCCACGCCCCCTTGATCCATGTTCGCGATCGCCTGGTTCTTCTGAGCAAGGGCCGACCGTCCCGGCATTCCTACAGGCCGACCACGAGATGTTCTTAGAACCCAAGAAACCTTCTCAGACCAGAAGCGATGTTCTTATAACATGAAGCCGATGTGTTGAAACACGACGGTCCCAACCAGAAATGTTCTAAGCACATCTCGTGGAAACAACAAGAGGTTCCTAGAACATTCCTGGTGGGCCTATCGGCACGCCGGGACGCTTCGCCACTGCTTGAGCCTCGGCGGGGAAGGCGCGCGGGGGGGCCGGCCTCCACGTCACCGCCCTTGTCTGCCGCCAGGCCGCCGCGCCTCGCGACCTCGGCGCCCGGGGGGCGCCGGTGCGCACGCGCCTCCCTCCGGGGCTCGGCCCTGGCCGCTGCGTGTGCGGGCAATATTTTCGTCCACGGCCAGCGTCTGAGATTTTCGTGGATGGGCCTCTTAGAATAAGGAACCGAACTCTATACACCGACGCTTCTTCCAGCCCCGCACGGAAGTGCGCACAGGAAAACGGATCCTGGTGTACATAGATTCTGGTGTGTGCATGTATTTTTTTTTGTTGTTGTTTTTTCCCCCCCCCCCCCCCCCCCCCCCCAAAACGCTATTTTGGGAGAAAAAGGGGGGAAGCTGATGGGGACGCAGCGGACAGAACAGATCAGCTCGCGTGCCGTCAGAAGAGCTACCAGGGAACCCTCCAGGCCAAAACTGAAACATCATCCATGTATGGCCATGCTCTTGGAGCCCACCTCCAAGCGAACATGGATCGCCACAGCGGGAAGAAAGGGCAGAAGGGAGATGAGCAAAAGGAACGCGAGCTGGGAAAGCAAGTAGCAGAGACAAATATAAACACCCCGCGGCTGTATATCACCCGAGACAGAAAAAGGCTACAAGGAATTGACAACAGGCTACAAGGAATGACGTTTTGGCGCCCAATCGCCCGACCGAGGCCTGGAGCGGACCAGCGGAGGCTCCGAGGGACCCCGGAGGCCGGGCGGACCTGAGGAGGCCCGGCCGAAGGGCAGTGGGAGGGGTCAAACACCCCATGCACGAATTTACCCCGCATGGCGCTAGCGGGAACTCTGGGCCCAGGTTCGGTGACGCGGAGGGGGCGGGGGGGGAACGGAGGGGAGGAGGATCGCTCGTGCAGCACATCGTGCCACCTATAGCACTCCAAACGGCCCTCGCCAATGGCCGGGTGAGACGACGTGCACGGGGGGAGCGAGGATGAGACAAGGAGAGGAGGCGAAGATCCGGCCCACCCCGGAAGGGATAGCCGGAGTTCCGCCTCCGGGAGGCGAGCGCGGGAGGAAGAAAACAGAGGAGAAAGTGGGACCGTTGTTGCAGGCACGGCCCCGTGCGGGCCCGGGCCGTCACTACCGGCCACGCGGCGAAGACAGCACTTGCGCGCTGTACAACTGCCTTACGTTCCGCTGTGGGTTCTGTCACGAAAGTCGGCGGTGAGAGGCTGCAGGTGAGGAATAAAACGGCTCTCAAGTGCAACCTCGTCTGGGCGGCGTGCTGCCGACAGACATGGCCGGGGCAGCATTCACAAGGTGTACAACTGTCCAAAGTTAGGCTGTTTGTTCCGTTTGTGCGGGAGCCCCCCCGAGCATCCCAACACTCCAAACAACAAAACCACATGACATATACAACAGCAGGGCGGAAAATAAACGCATGGGCCGGTATCAACCCAAACAGCGTTGAACACGCAACGGAAATGTCACGCAATTCCGCTTTGAAGGGCTGCCCGTGAGGAATAAAACGGCTCTCAAGTGCAACCCCGTCTGGGCGCGCTGACAGCAAGATGGCCCAGATCAAAGGAATCAGCAGTTTGAGAAGAACAGGGGAAGAGAAGGAAAGGAGGGAGAGGCGGAGGACGGAGGAAGAAGGGGGGGAAGGGCGACTGCACGCTCAGAGCGAGCGCTGGGGGCCTCCACAGCCGCGCACAGACCAGATCCGACCTGCGGCACTGACCAGAAAACGGCCACTCGAACCGGAGGGGGAGGGACGAGGCGAGGAGAAGGAGGAGGAGGAGGAGGAGGAGGGGGAGGGAGAAACCCACAGTAGCCTGCGGTAGGGCACGCTCACTCGCCGTCGCCGGCTGCGCCTGCGGCGGCGTGGCCCCCGGAGTTCTGCAGCTGCTTCAAGATCTCAACGAACAGCCTGTGCGCGTCGAGGTTGCCCCGGCCGGCGTGCCGCAAGATGGCGTGGGCTTTGTGGCCCACGGCGACCATCGTGGCCGCGCTGGCGACCTCCGCGGCGGGGGTGCCGGGCTCCCACAGGAGGGCACGGGTGGTGCGAGTCTCCGGGCTGGCAGGATCGGCCAGGCCCAGCTTTGCCACCCCGAAGCGCCACAGCACCGGGCAACAGACGTAATGACGCACGTCGTCTTCGCCCAGTCTAGGAGGAGTCGGCTTGCGGGGGGGTCGGGCGCGCGGGAGGCGGGCGGAGGCGTCGCCGGCGCCCCGCGCCCCCGGGGGGCTCCATGTTGGATTTCCCAGGCTGCGCCAAGCGCGCACGCGTTACTTGCCCGCGCGCTCACATTCGCGCAAGCGCATCCTCAGAAACTATGATTTGGATCGGAACCGCGCGACAACGGGCATGGGGCGCCTGTCAAGGCTGCTTCTGGGAGCGATTGCTGCTGGCTCGACGCGCGCTATATGCATGAAGCGACTTTTGGAGGACGGGCGCTGCGCCGTCCAATCCAACGCGGCAGTGGCGCGGTCCGGGGCGCGCGGCCGTCGCGGCACGCGGCGGTCGACGTGGCCGCATATGGCGCGCGATCGGCCGCGCGGTATTTGCGGGCCATTCGGCCGACGCTGCCGGGTCGCCCTCACACAGCCCGCCAGGAATGCGCAAATGCGCAATGCGCCAGCGCGCCGCCAGGATATCGCCCCGAAAACAACCTGTTCACTCTGAACGCCGACCGCGCGCCTCGCTGAACCAGCGAAGTCGCGCGGCGCGCCCGCGCCGCGGACCCGCCGCAATGAACTCGCGGGAAAAAAGCCTCTCTCCATAGGTTCTGGCACCGATGCTGGCCTACTTCCCCGTTCTGGCCGATGCTGGTTCCATCGCCGATTCCTCCTTTGATTCCGTATTGTTTCCGTGCTGATTCTTTTGATTCCGCTAGAATCAGGGGTCGCAGTTGTGCCGATTCTGTTGTGATTCTGTACTGATTCCGTACTGATTCCTTTGATTCTCCTGTGCCCCGGGGGCCATCGGGCCGCGGCCCGAGCCCCCGCCTCGGCGGCGTGGTTTTTCCAAGAGCGCGGAAGAGTTTTGAGGGGGAGGGGGGCGCGGGGGGGAGGCGGCGCGATTTTTGGGGCGCATCGGGCGGCCGAGCCACAGATTTCCGGGCCCAGTGCTCACGCCCAACATGGCAGGCGCGGGCGCGCGCGCGAGTTCTCGACCGTCGGCGCATCTTTAAGTTCATGCCCCGCCCCGCGCGCGGGAATGGAAACTTGCGTTGCGGTTTCCACTTGAACGCGCGGCCGTCGCAACTGCATCGAATTGCTCAGCGCGCAAAGCGCGCAGCATAGGGGGCTTTGCGTTCTCGCATGAGAAGTGCGCAGAACCGAACCGAACGGTCGGCGGCGCCCGCTCCTGCGCCGCGCGCGAGGCCATCGCGTCAGCGCGGAGGGCTACAAGGGCCTGGGCCGTCGCCCTGGGGCGCGGGCGCAGCGCGAGGCCCGCGCGGGTCTCTCGCGCCAAGCATGCGCAACAAAGTCGGCCCGCCCGCCGGCTGGCGCTCGCGGGCGACGCGACGCCGGCGCCGACTGCGAGGCCGACTGGGCCCGGTTCCTGAGAGTCCCGGGGGGGGGCAGCGGGCCGCGATGGAATCGGCGCGGTCGTCGGCGCCCCCCCCGCGCCCGCCCCCCCCTGCAAGCCGACTCCTCGGACAGCCGGCAGCCGCGCGCGCACCGGCCACCGCGAACGCCGAAGCGGCGGCCAGTGCAACATCCGTTCAGCCAGGTGCGCAGCATGGCCGCCCGCACGCGCGGCGGCGTTTGCCGCGGCAGCCGCTGCATGACCCGCCTGCAGCGCTCAGCCCGTCGACCTGGCAAGGGGCCGGGATCGCGCCATTTCCGGACCTTGGCGCTCAGCTGGGCATGCCCCGTGCGTAGCCAGTGCTGGCGCCGCAAGGAGAGTCGTTGCTGAGGCTTGAAGCCGCCGCTTCGCCCTCAACCATGTCGCCAGGGTGGCAGGGCGGGGGCTTCGGCCCAGCGCCTGCTCCAGCGTTCGCGCCTCTGTGACGCCCTGGCGCGCCAGCGCATCCATCGCGGCCTGCAGCTTCTGGACCGGGCCTCCGGTGAATCAGCTCTGCCATCTCCAGTCGATGTCCCACGACGTTGTGGCGCGGTAGCGAGAGCGCTGCAGGCGGACGCAGAACTCGTCCAGGCGGATGCGGCGACGGTGGCCCCCTCCCGCGAGGGCCACCCGGAACTGGGCTGCAGGCCCCGAAGTCGTGAGAGACTGCAGCCGGCATGGCATCTTAAACTCATCCCGAAGATGCTGGGCCACCCCCGGCGGGAGCCATCCAGACGGCCCAAGAAAGAATTTCTGGATCGCCCATCGTTCCGATGCCTGCCAGTCGGGGGGCACCCCGTGCAGCTGAGCGACATACTGCAATTTCGAGATGGCAAACACGTTATATGCCAAAGTCGTCAGATGCATACCTGGTGTGAGCCCAGCCCAGCTGCAGACCGCCTCCTTGAACTTCCGAACGGGGGCATTCCATCCACTGTCCGCCGCCGCTGGGCCCACTTCGAACCCCAAGTACGCGCCGGAATGCGCGACGCGCACTGCGCCCCAGGCCGGCACCGCCCGCCGCCATAAGTCTGTTGCCGCCCCAGGCTGCCACGTCCACAAAGGCAGAAGCACCGTCTTTGCAAGGTTCAGGTGCATACCAGACGCCACGGCGAAGAGCTCGAAGAGGCCGTGCAGCTGTGGCCACGCCGTGCGGCCGTCGGCGCCCACCAAGGCGAGGTCGTCGGCAAAGGCGCAGCGCTCGCGGCGGCCTGCCACGGAATCTAATTGGCGGTTGAAGGGCTCCGTTACGAGCACAAACAGGAGCGGGCTGAGAGGGCACCCCTGACGGATACCCGCGGAGATCACGACCCCCCCCCGCCACTGGCCCGCCATCGCCACGCAACAGCGCTGTCCAACGTAGAGTGCGCGGATAGCGGCGCGCACGCCCCGCGGCAGCCCCAGCTTATCCAACGCGTAGTGCAAGTAGTCGTGCTCCAGGCTGGGGAACGCCGCCCGCATGTCGAACAGCAGGGCGCGCGAACAATCGGCATCCAGCGCCGCCTCCAGCATGGCCGCTTCGAGGTCTATGACGTTGGCCAAGATGGATCGGCCGCTAAGGAAGCCCCGCTGGCTCTCGCCCACCAGGGCCTCGATGGCAGGCTCGATGGCGTGCCGTATCGCGCTGGCCAGCAAGCGGTTCGACGTGCATCAGCGGGCGCGTCTCCGCCGGGCAGTGGAAGGCGCCGGCCGCGGGGTCTTGCCTTGTGGGCTTCTTCGGGAGCAGCGCCAGCAAACTCCCGTTGAAGTCGCATGGCCCAAAGCGGTTGTCGCCCGACCCGTAGTCGCGCACCATGGCCTCCTCCGCGTCCTCGGCCATCATTGCCTGCAGCGTGTCCGCGAGGACCTCGACGCCGATCTCTCCGAGGCCGCGCCAGTAACTGACAGGGATGCCATCTGGCCCGGGCGCCGTGTCACCAGCCGATTTCAGTGCCCGGCGAACGTGCGAATCGTTGATCTCGTAGTCCGGCATCACATCTGCAAACGACGGCATCGCCTCGACCCATGGTGCGACCGCCTCTAAGCTGCCGACCCCCTTTGCCCGGAAGTGTTCCGCCCAGTGGCGCACTAAGGTGCGGGCAAACCGCTGCGGATCCGTGGTGACCGAACCGTCTGGCAGCTGGATGGCGGACAGAGCTTGCTCAGACCTGGGGCGAAGGCGGCGAAGAGTCTGCATCGCCCGGTGGCGGAGCCCACGAAGCGCTTTTTCAGGCTCGCCCGCCTGGCGCGCCGTCTGCACTTCCTCTAATTCGTTGGGCTCTGGCCGTGGCCTTTGCGCACTCATGTACCGCATCCTGCAGGAAACGCACGGCCGCCAGCGACTGCGTCGCCAGGCAGGGGGCGAGCTCGGGCCTCGCCGCCGCCATTTTCAGCTGGATATCGCGGTCTTGGCGCCGGTCGCCTTGCAAGCCCCGCGTAACCCAAGACAGGCGACCCTCAAGATCGGCACGCGGGAGCTCGCGCGGGGCAGCTCGCTGAAGCCCCGCGGCCGCCTCGGCCATCGCCTCCTTCATGAACCGGAGTCTGCCGAATGCGCTCGCGGCCTTGCCACAGCGGTCGTTGGCCAGTCTGTCAGCATAAATCAGGCGCGCGCGGTCCCTCCAGGCAGGGCAGTGCCCCATTTCCGGCGGCAGGCCACGTCCCGAGTCACCTGTGGCTGACCCCGTATGCCCGCAGCGGAAGACAGAGACAGCCCGGTGCGTGCTGAGCAGCTGGGCGCGCGACTCCGAGCGGACCCAATCCAGCACTGCAGTGCCGACCCGCTCGTTGAGGAAGCAGCTGGGGCGCAGGTTGGCGTAGCAACGATCCAGTCGCGACAAGACTCCTTGATGTTCGTGCGTGTATCCCAGACCCCTTGGAGTCATGATTTTTTCACGACGGCCGCTTGCGTCATGAAAAAAATCACACGTCGCAAAAAAATCAAGACATTGAGAAAAAATCAAGACATGTCGACACATATACACACGTGTATATATATATATGTGTGTACACACACACATATATATATGGCCCGCACTTGTCATCCGCATGCGTGTGACGCGCGTACGTAGTGCATAATGGCGCGCAGGCCATTCAGCGCCTTTGCCGCCGCCGCTGATGCGCGAGGCGAGCGAGCCCTACTCAAAGATCGAAGGGCGAGAGAGATGAGAGGAAGAAACATGCACCTCTCAACGCTATATATATATATATATACACAAACATACATACATCATGCGCAGGCATGCGTGCACGGAGATGGCACTGCGTGGTGCAACTCGAGGGGGGGGGGGGGGGTGCTTTTTTGGTCCCAGGATCCTGGGTCGGGGCCAGGGCGGGGAAAAAAAACACCCTTGGAACAAAAAAATCCTGGAACAAAAAACGCGCAGGGGAAACCCGAGCACTGCGCGGACGGTCGCCGTTTCCGAGCTAGCGCAAGCGACGGTTATGAACCACGCCGCACGATGATGCGGCCGACCAACTGGGTGGTCTGAGTCGATCGGAGAGAGGTAGAGATCCCGAGTGAGGAAGAGGTGGAGGGGATGGGCGTTATTTCCAAAACGCTGATGGTCACAAATGTCAGTGGCGCTCATCTGTGCGCATCACGTGGCGCTGCATCTTTGGCGACATCCTGGGATCCCCCAGACCCCCGACGTCGTGATTTTTTTCACAACGTCGACCCCCAGAGGTCTGTCGCTCCCGAGGCCCAGTACTCGTGAGAGCCCCCAAAGGCCGAACATAGCGAAAAACCTCACGTTGTGATTTGTTCACGACGCCTGGAGGTCTGGGCATCTGGAGGGTCGGCCGATTTCATGACAGCGGCCGCGAGGAGGAGGTGGAGGAGGATGAGGATTCTTTCCGATGCATATGGTCGCAATCTCGTACTGAGTCCTCGGGTACTTGTCGCTGCACGAGCGCACTTCCTCGGGATGACGAGGTGGGAGGATGGGTTGGGAGGGTGGGCGGATCGAACCGGATCGAGGGGGGAGGTGGGTGGTTCCAATCGAAGCGTGGGCAAGGAGGGAGAGAGGCGGCCTGCGGGCCTGCAGCTCGCTCCGAGCAGTGCCAGCGCAGCGTGGGCGGCCCTTCTGCATTAATGCAGCGGCCAGCTCCACGTGCTAATTCAAGGGAAAGGGGAGGAAATTGTGATAGGAAGCGTGGATGTGGATGGGCCGCGGGGTGGGTCGCAGGTGGGTCGCGGGGAGGGCCGACTACAACAGCAAACAGCAACAACAACAACAACAACATCAACATCAACATCAACATCAACATCAACAACGCAACAAACATATTGATCACCGCAAATGTTCACTTCAGCCACGCACCCACCCGCCTCTACCCGCCTCTGTTTCCAATGCGCGTGGCGGAAACGAGCGGCGCACCGCGTCTCCACAGGCGCGTCCACATGCCGCAGGCACGTCCACATGCCGTGGGCAAAGGGTGGGGGCGGGAAAGGAGAAGGGGATCATACGTGCCCGATGCGGCCACGACCGATCACGGAGGGCGGTTCCCTGAACTCGGGCGATGCTGCTTCGAAAAATCCAAGGAGGGGGGCGGGGGAGAGCAAGAACAGCCAAGTCCCGGCAATCGGCAGCGAGCGGTGGGCCACTACTTTGGACCCGACGCCCGACATGGGTACCGAAAAAATGGGTACGATGCCCAACGACAAATGTTCTCCCAAACCAACAGCGGCCGCCGTTGGGCAGGCGGCCTCCTGTCTCGAATGGACACAGGCCGCGGCGGCGTGGACAGCGAGGCCTGTTCAAAATGAACAGGAACTGCTGTTGGGCAGTGCGCCCATTCTTTCGGTACCCATTTCGGGCGTCCAGAACTACAGCGTGGCCTGCGCCGATCGGCGTGCCAGCGTGCGACTGGAGATGGGAACAATGTCGGTGGTGTGCTCCTCCTCCTCCTCCTCCTCCTCCTCCTCCTCCTCCTCCTCCTCCTCCTCCTCTGGTTGTCCTCCTCCACTTCCTCCTGCGCAATCAAAAAAAAGGGGGGGAGGTGGCGACTGAGCCTAAGGCGCGCCGCCAGCGCGCTCCTGCAAGATGCCCGCGGTCGCGCGGGGCCAGAGATGGATAGAGTGTGTGTGTGTGTGTGTGTGTGTGGGTTTGTTTGTTTGTTTGTGTTGTGTGTGTGTGTGTGTGCGTGCGCTGTGCGTGCGGGTGGGGCTGGAGCCGCCGCGCCCGGCCTGGACCCCGCTCAAGGCAGGACGCTCGCCGTCGGCGCCTCGCGAGGAGTGAGGCCGTTAAGGTGGACTGGGGAGGGGGGGAGGAGAAATCCACGCCTTGGGTACACTTCTGGCGCTGGACATCAGCGCCCCGCCGCGAGTCGATCACCGCCGCCAGGGTCACCGCATCCCGCCGCGAGTCGATCAGCGCCAGGGTCACCGCATCCCGCCGCGAGTCGATCACGGCAAAAATTTTTTGAACCCAGGGAGGCTTGGAAAAAATCACGACGTCGGGGTCTGGGAGGGGGTGCCAGGAAACGGAGGGAGGGGAGCGAGGGAAGGGCTTAAGGAGGATAGGGAGGGAAGGGAGGCAGGGGAGGGAGAGAAGGGAGAGAGAGGGGAGGGACGGACGGAGAGGGGAGGGAAGGGAGGGAGGCAGGGAAGGAGAGGGAAGGGATATGGAGGAGAGAAGGAGGAAGGGAGACGGGGAGACGAGACACCGAGCCCCTTAGCCGAGCAACGGCGCCTGAGGGCCAGCGCCCTGCGCCCCTAGGGAAGGAAGCAGGAGGGAGGGAGGGGGGGGAGGGAAGCAGGCAGGGGGGGGGGGGGGACGGGGGAAGGGCAGGGAAGGAAGGGAGGGAAGTGGAGGGAGGGAAAGGGCCTGTCCCGAGGCGGGCAAGAACGGATCGTGGGGAACAAATGCGCGCTGCCTGCTTTCCACGCCTCTGCGCGCGGAAGGGGCGTTGGAGTCCCGCGGAAAAAAGGGGAGGGGAGGGGAGGAGGGGGGACTGGCAATGCTCCTCGAGTGCCCCTTCTGCTCTGTCGGCAAGCGAACGCGTTCTTCTCAAGCTGGGCCAGAGATCACCCCGCCTGTTGTTCAGGCAGGCGTCCCCGCGCAGGCGCCGAAAAGGGAAACCACCATCATCCACATGATCATGATCACCATCATCACCATCATCACAATCATCGTCATCATCATCATCGTAACAATTATTCGTACGGTTCTCCCTCGTGGTACTAGACGTACCCCAGTGAAACAGATCATCGGATCACCAGGGCGTCGCGAAGACCCTTCCCTTTGCACGGCGGTTCTCATTTTTATGGCGGGATGTCGATAGGCCCCCCCCCAGGAGGGTGGACCTTCTCGAGCATCCTGTCATGAAAAGTAGGACCGCCGTGAAGGGATTTCGCGACCCGCTGCATGTTCCGATTCTCTGCCTCATCGGGGTACGTCCAGTACCGCGTTGGATTTCCCTTCTCGGCAACCTGCTTTGCGAGGTGAACCATCACGTGGAACTTAAAGACGCAGTGGCCCCTGCACTCCTTCCATGCCCGCAAGAACGCGAGGCTGGCCGTCTGCAACGAGAAAGGAACGCGCACTCACGCCCAGCCGCGCTAACGAAACCCAAGCCGACCCCAACCGAGACCGAACCGAATCCAGCAAGGACGTGGCATACGAAGGACCGAACCGAATCCAGCAAGAACGTGGCATACGAAGGACCGAGCCGAATCCAGCAAGAACGCGGCATACGAAGGGCCGAGCCGACTCCAGCAAGAACGAGGCACACGAGGGACCGAGACGAATCCAGCAATAACGGGGCATACGAGGGACGGGCCACCAGCAAGATCCAAGTGCCATGGGCCACAGTGCAAGTTCCGAGCTCGTGTCTGGAAGGTGTGCACACTGGACGCGCTCATATTGCGCGCGGCTTTTGGGCCCTGGCAATTGTACACGGTGGCCAGGTGCGTGCAGGCCTGCATCAGCGCCGCTCTGCGCGGACCTAGAAACCCAGCGCCTTCGCGGCAGAGCTGAGGAAGAAGTGGCACGAGGTGCCGCGACTCGGCGGCTTTCGCCTTGAGGCGCGGGATCCCGCCTTCCTGGGACGGCATGAACATCTTCAGAGTCAGCCTCCCTATCGCGGGCTTGCCCCCCCTTTTCCTGAGCGCGCCCGTGGCAATGTAGAACGCCCGAATTCTTCGGCGGAGGTGAAGGATGTTGTCATGGTCCCGCTGCGCCTTCCTGCCCTTTCTACTCCCGCAGAAATTCGTCGTGACCAGTCTGTGGAACACTGCTGCGATGACGTACTGTGCCACGCCCAGGTCGAGGATGTGCATCCCGTCGAGCATGATGGTATCCACCCCTACTCCTTTGACTTGAAAGAGGGGGCAGATCTGATCAAGGCCCTGGCTGTTGGACGCATTGAAGAACTGCAGTTGTGCTGGCGTCTCCACCGACCGAAGTTCGTGAATGTCAGTGCAGTGCTCGTTTTCGATGAGACGATATCCGACGGGCAGGGCGAACTCGGCATTACGCCGCCCGAACACAGTTAATCCCCCAGCTTTGTTGTCCATCTGCAGAGAGGCGGCCAGACGCCTGAGAGCTGCGTCGTCTGGGACAGCAACCGTGCGAAGGGAATTGTCTACCATGTGCTGGTACATGAGATTGTCCCGCGAGGCCCATAGATCATCCATCGTTGCTGGAAATTCAAACAGGCTTGCCTTTGGACAGGTGCACGAGAAGCAAGGGTTCCTTGGGTTCTGCCACGTTTTGAATCCATAAGCCCCCGTGACCTCTAAGAGGTCCGCTCTGATTTCGCAGAGGGCCCCCCGCCACCCCTCTGCGAGGGGGAAT